TTAACCCTTAGGTAGCTAAGCACCACAAGATCATCATTCACCCACACAAACTTTTCTTGCCAGTCCTTCTTGGACTTTTGATTGTGAATAAGAATAGGGACTTCCTCCCGGCGAGAGAGGGTTCGAGTCCACGACTGGGTAGAAGCGTTGAAGAAATGCTTGAATGTCGAGACAATTAGTTGACGACCTAGAGCACGACAGAGGAGCTCGAAACCCACTATCTTGTTTATGGCAATGGGGGTCAACTCCTTCACTGAAAACCCATACTCACGGATGATCAGATTAAGGAAGTCAGTGGTAGGCAAACATAAGCCTGCCTCGAATAAGGCGATCGGAATCCCGACTTTGCCCTCAGGAGGATTGTAAAGTGACGCATTGGAGAGGGGGATTTGTACACCGTGTTCGGGGAAAAACCCGAATCGAAATTGAAAAGATTTCCACTCTTCAGCAGTGAGATTTCTTCCCAAAGAGCGAGAGGTAGCCATGGAAGAGTTTGGAGGAAAAGACGAAAAGGTTTCTTTCGAGTAAAAATGCAAAGAAAGTAAGGTAGCAGGTGAGGAAGATGTGACAGGAAAAGTAGAGGTTTAAATGCCAAAAAAGGGGGAGCGAACCGTTTTTATGATGAAACTACCGAAGAGTGGTAAACCGCATAGGACATCAATAGCAGTTCGCCACATGCCTCGAAACAGGCCAGAACGACGTTGCTACGTCCCGAACGCAAATGCCTACTGGTCTAAGGGATGTGTTGACGTTACCCTGTATGGTTATGTTGAACTTAACGGAAAGCCTAGACGGAGCGTTAACATGCTAGTACTTTGGCCGAGACCCCGGTCCTGGCCTATGCAATCCAACACCGAGCCGATAGCTCGCTTCCTATCACAAGGAAAGAACGTTCCACGTGATCCCCTCATTTACTCACAACCAATCAGAAGGTGACAAATGGCTCGGGTGACGCCCAGAACTGACGTCACCTAGCAGTTAGTTAGCATGGGTAACTCTCCTAGTAAGAGGAGGCCACGTCTCGCACTCACAGGTCAAGGTCCGCATGATCTGTTAGTAACAGGTATAAAAGGATCTCTTACGTTTCAAG